TTTTGGAAAAGTAAAAATGCAGTTTTATTGTGTTTATCAATACCTATCGAAATGTAGAAGAAATTTTTCAAATCGGACCATTCGTTAAAAAGTTATGCGTGATCAACGTTTTCTATCTCTATCTCCATCTCCCTCGCACTCCCTTTACCTGAGTAACGGGTATCTGATAGTCGGGGCATCCGACTATAACGTTCCCTCTTGTTATTATTTAATTCTTTTGTTTTTGCTGTCACCTAAGTATAATTTTTCTATGCTTTTCGCCTCTTATGGCAACCCAGCGACTCTAGCTCTAAAACCTTCCCCCACTGTTCGGGGTCACCTCGTCCCGATGAGATGGTGACCTCCGCACTTCGCTGACATTGTTGTATAATATTTTGCTTGCATTTCGCTGCCGGGTTATTCGGGTTTATTTGGCGCGTTGGTATACAAATACGCAACCAAATTATCATGGTTTTTATTTGTTTGTTTTCGTTTTTGTTTTCAACTATAAATATTTTTCCTTTGAATTTCTTGTTATGCTTAATTTGATTAACTCTTTTAATATTCGTTACGTTGTTTCACTTGTGTGTGTTTTCTTATGCAAATGCCGTTTTTATGTGTGTATGTTATGTCTGTGTGACTTGTGATGCCGTATTTAAATTGTATATATATTTCTGTTTTAGTGTATATTTAATACTTAGCTTATGCATTAGGTTTCCAATTTTCGGCTTTGTTCTTGCTGTTTGTTTTATGTTTTTGGTTTTTCTGTTTTTGTTTGCTTGTTTTCTTATGTTCTCGGCCCTTTTATTCCGCTACAATGTTTTTCGATTTTTTCATCCTGTTTGCCTTTCGCCTTTGTGTTTTCTAGTCCTTGTCCTAAAACACACTCAAACATGCTTAAATTTCTACAAAATATTTGCAATACTGCAGTCGATATCTATACTTTGTTTACTTTAGTTATTTGCTATTTACTTATCATATTTTACGTCTGTATATATATATGTGTGTATATATATATATATTGTTCGTATAATATCGATATCTATGTCTGTGTCTGTTTCTGTTTCTGTATCTGTGTGAGTTCTGTCCTCGTGTCGAATGCCTTGCAAAACTTTTTCGGTTTTAGCTTTTGTTTTCACTTTGATGTTTGTTTTGTTAGCAGCTTTTGGTTGTTTGCTCATCGTTTGATTTTTTCTACATTTGCATTTGATTTGTTTACAATCTTAGTGTAATTTTAATTGCATAACATGCCCCTCAATCTCCCTGCGCCGCCTGGTTTATTGCACAAAAATATCCTGGGTTGCCTGCTCGGATTATACTGAATTTGATTTGATTCGATTTGATTTGGTTCCAACGGTTCTCGTTCTCGTGGCTAGTACATTTACCATAATATTTCTGTTCTGTATCTCAGTATCTCTAGCTGTAAATTAGATCCCTCCTTCCTATCCCCAAACTGATGTGTGTGTGTGTAATTAACCTAATGGAAACACACTCAGAAATCGGATAAATAGTATGCACCGCCATTCCAACTTGAAGGGTTTGTCTGCATGTAAATATATATAATTGTTTGTAGCTTAGATAATACTTTTATTTGATTGATTTTCGGTTTCGCCTTGCTGCAATTGGATCTCGTTAAAATTTGTTCTCCCCTTTCGTTCGGTTTGATTTGGTTTAGTTTAATTTACGCTACGTGCCTCCACATGCATCGCCCGTTTTTCGCGTTGCGTGTGGTAAATTTAGCTAACTGCTCCTGTTTCAGCACTCCAGTTAATTACACTTCGAATTGACTAATTGGTAATTGTAGTTTATGGTTAATAACTGCAATCGTTTCAGTGTGTAGTCGGCTTTGAATCCAAACCGAATTAGTAACTCAAAGCGAATGACTTGGAATTGAATTATGCTCGACTAATGGTGGATGGTGGCAATGGACTATGATGATCGGAACAGAACCTGAGTCGATGAATAATAATAATCATCATCATGCGGCAATATAGTGCAGCTACACAGTACTTTTGCAGTGTTTTTGGTTTTCGGTTTTCGGACGAATCCTTCTGCCAGGATTAGTCCTTCTCTGCTGTATATGTGACGTGGGCTTCCATGTGTATAAATACTTTGTATATTTTCTCATATATATATATATATATAGACGTATATAAATGACTTAGCACGTTTTATAGTTACACAACATAAATACATACAGTTACAGCTGTTATTCATATATTTTTAATGTTTTCCTTTTATAATTGTATATTATTTAGTTCGTCGTCTTCGTCAGCTTGGTTTTATGCCTTACCTCTTAGCTTCCACAGTTAATTCTTATTTAGTTTCCAACTCTTCACTATTTCTACGTGCCAACTACCCATTTTAACTCTTTACTGATATGTAGCGCAAACATTAACAAACAAACCGATAATATTTTTTTTTCGTTTTTTTCTGTCTTAACTATAAACTTTTCGCTTATAAATGGTTTCACTTCTCTTTTTTCCTAGCCAAATTTTTGTTTTCTGCAAAACGGTTTTTAAGATTAATTTTTTTTTTTTTCGTTTGGTCAACAACATTTCAATTTTTTGTTCTCGCATTTTTTCTTTCACTTAACAAAATGTCTAGAAAATAAACAATAACAACAAAAAATGCATTTGTCAGCTTCACTTCAACTTCACTTGCATTAATCCGGCCCAATCCCGCCCACTTTAAAATCACATCTACATCTACGCCTCGTAGTTTCTCTAGGTTCTAGTGCTAAAAACATTTAAATATACAGTACGACTGTCCCCAAAAGACTACATGTCCTGCTGATGATCCTCAGATCCTTGGCTAAAATCCCCAGTGACCCTTCTTATCGTACTGAGTGAGCGCCTGCTGCGAATATATATTCATATTCGGGTTGGGTATTTTATATCGATAGACATTTACTGGTGCCGGGGGCCACACCCGAGTAACTAAATGCTCTCTGATCCGTTAGCTGCGAAAAATTCCACTAAAAAAATGACATAACAAATTCCACGCTGCCAATTCGCTGGGGATTGGGGCGTGTCAAATGCAAATCAAGCCTCGTCCTTTCGTCCTTTGCAGCTTAATTGTCCGATACGCACGACTATATATATGCGAATGCGAATGCCAATGCGATTGCGATTGCGATTACGTTACGTATGCGTATTGCTATTTCTAGTACTTGGGATTTGTTTGCTTGCTGTTGTTGCTGTTGTTGTTGTCATCGTTTTAATTGGTTTTCATTTTGAACATCTATTTGTGATTTATCATCCAACGCATACAACACAATAAACAATAAATATCATTTACCATACGTCGCATTTAGTTTTTCTTCTCTATTTGTAAACACCGTGTGTTTGTTTGTCTGTGTCAGTGTGATGTGGGTGTGAGTGTTCTCTATACGGCCTGTATATATATGTTATATAAGCATGTTTGTTTAATGCATATGCTGTTTACTCTATGTACTTATCAACCAACTCTAAGTCTAGGCTTTACGCTTTACCACTTTACATTTATATACTCTACACTTTTAGTTGTATTTACCATATGACTATTTTTTTATGTTTCACATTCATGTACTACCATCTGAAGTTCTCGATCCCCAGTGTGTGAGTGTGTGTGTTATGTTGTCTATAAGTTGATTAATGCTTGCCGTTTGGGTATCGTTATCGTGTCCTGTGTCCTGTCTCTCTTTTCGGGCTGCGAGTGTGTTTATTGGCTTATATGATTAGGCGATAATATCTACTTTATTACGGCTATGCTCGATTAGCTAATATCAATTAATATCATTCGATGGCATACTTTGATTGTTTTCAATATACTTTACTTGTGTAGGGGTTTTCTGTTCTCTCTGTCTCTTTATATATATTATTCGTACTCATAGTCATACCATATATATATTTTTAGCTACTTGGATATTCTGTTTGGTTATCGGTTCGGTTTCGGTTTGGTTTCAGTTTCTTTTCAGTTTGGGTTTCCTTATCGCTTTCGTTTTGGCCTAAACAACAGAGAACTAACACAACAAATTTGCAGCTAACCATTCCTCTTCTGGCAACTGAAATAAAACCATAAACGTAACATGTACAAACATGGGTTAATATCTGGCGTGTTAAAGAGTAAGTTGTTGGAGGGAGTTTGAAACATTTTTGCGGCTGCTTTGTACATGAAGCTTCTCGTGAAGCGCTTGTTGAAAGTAAAAAGCGAAAAGTCATAATGGATTAGGAGTCGGATTTCAGGCAAATTATGAACTGGGCTGGGCTGGCTGGACTTTCCTGGACTTTTATTTCGATTATTACTTTTACTCAGATACTTCAGATACAAACTGCGAGTGCTGGTGAGACCTGTGGTGAGTGTGCGTGTGTAGGAACCTGTCTTTCGATTGCTGATCGATCACAAATCGGTGTGAGTGCGTGAACTTTCAGTTGCATTCTATAGGAAATGATAGCAGGACATGACGAGTTGGCCCGATAACTGGCAGTTCTTTCTAAGCAGTATCATCTATCATAGTTGTAGGCACTAGTGCTAAGTGTGTGGGTGGTTGGGCGGGTGAAAGTAGTATTCCATTTAGCTTTCACAAACTGCGAGTTAGATGAATAAAAAATGGATTCATAATACTTTCACTCGTCCAGTGAAAGTAGTGTTCGAGTGTGTGTGTGTGCTAAGCTTGAACCAAACTGCGCTCAAAAGTAGGCAATACAAAATGATGCGGGTCCTGCTGTGAGAGGGTAAAGGATGATGTGGGGTTAAGGGCTGTTTGCATACACACAGACGCACAAATATTTACTTGCATACATGTGAGGAGCCCGTCTGTGTGTGCGCGTAATTAATTTTAACGCATTTTTAATTATGTTTATTTTAATTTAATGCCGCGACTGTGTTTAATTTAGGCTGCTACAATCCGCCGACCAAATTGTATTCCCCGTTTTTATTTACGCTCCTGCTTCCTTCTTCAATTAATAATTGTTATTATTATTTTTTATACGCGCCGTGCTTCAACACATTTACATAAAGCATTAAAATATGTGGTGTGAGTTGTGTGTGTGATGGTGTAAGCAACTAGGGTTAAAAATATGTTCGCTTTCTTTGCTTTTTTTTTGCATATACATAATAATTGTTTGCTTCCCCCGATGCTTATTCAACGGGCGTTGACAGATAATTATGCTCTAGTTTTATATATATAGATATATACTTTTATGTGGGTGTGGGATTTTGGATTTTGCATTCGCGCTTGCTTTTGTTTCTGGGGTGCAGCTCTCTAACATCGCCAAACTTCGAGTTGCCATCAATTGTTTTGCAATTTGTGTGTTCTGCGCTTCGCATTTTATTTACAGCTCAGTTTGGTTTTGTTTCTGTTCAGAAAATTGCAGCTGTACTTAAAAATTTTGCATTGGATTTTCGATTTTCGATTGGCGTTTACTGTGCCTGCAAGAGTAAAGGATAAACCTTAAAAAATAATATGGGTGTTAGTAAGAATTGGAAAAAAGTAGTAGACGGAATAAAAGTAATTGTAATGCAAAAACGTGACTTGATTCGCTATCCACAACACAGATATTTCGGATGCATTAATAAATTCCATGGGCATTGTTCAACAAACCGGAAAGGCTTGAATTATGTGAGCTCACGAGATAAACAAATAAAACGAACAAGCTAATTGGCAAATATTTTACACTTAAAAGATAATGAAAATGCCGAATTTATGGCTAGATTACTAAGCAATACATGCATACAAATGTTACATATTCTACTAGAGGCCAAAATAAAGACAAAAAACTGGCCTAAACCAATATTTATTATCCGAATGTTTATTTAAATATTCAATATATTTTGTGTTCAATTGTTTCGGAACCCTCCCTCTCTTCGGTTTAATGTTATTTAATCAAAAACATGCATGCATATTGACAGATTACAATTGTCTCTGTCCACATTCGATATTCAAATGCAAAAGAATAATATTAGCAAGCAAAGGCATTCGAATGGCGATGGAATATTTTGATAGCAGCCAGAAATATGTACGCATATCGAGTGCACACACAACTGCCGAGCAAACAACCCATCGCACACCCTAACGAACCGAACGAATCGCATCGAATCGAATGGAATCGAATCGAGCGCACTACAACGGAATCCAAAATACATTCAGAACTTTCAACAAACGTAGTAGAGATGCACGAAAAATGTTTCAATGTGTCGGGCAATGTGTGTATCTATGTGGCCGTGTATCTGTATCGCGTTGGGCTGCACCTACCTGTGGGCTCACTTGGAACTGCTGTATCGGATAGGCCACCACGCCGGCGGCCTGTGGAATGGCTGTGCCGGCCACGCCCGTTGCCAGCTGCTGGGCAGGTGAGATCTGCGCCTGGGTGACGCCTTGCCAGGTGGCCGGAATCTGCACTCCCATGCTGCAACGAGAGTCGAAAGTTTGCAAAAATAAGTACATGTGGAAAAATAAATTATAAAGAAAGGATTTCTTAAGTCTTAGAGGTTAGAACTTGTGATAGTCGATTCTATATTTTTCAAAAATCTCTTAGTTAAAATGTGATTTGGTATTTCCTAGTTAATTTATGATCTAATATTTATAGATAATCAAAACTAATTTAAAAATACATTTTTAATTTAAAAAAAATTATTTTGATTTCCTGATTACTTGAAAATATTTTTCTAATAAATTAATGGTTATGTTTTTCTCTCTGTAATACTGCTGCATTACTGCACTCGCTGATCCGCCCATTGAAAGTCCCCGGAGCGTGGTGTGCGCCACAATTATCACGGGCAGTCGCCGGATGGCAAAGGGATTCGAAACCGAAAAGGGATGCCAGTTGGGGGAGCGGAAAACAAAATTTACGCGACTGCGATGCAAATAGCACGTTATGTTGACAGCCCGACGGACGCGGAAATGTATTTCATACGGCCGCAGACCGAGGACGGTGCAAATGAAAAACTTTCGCAATTAGCAAATGAATTCACCCATCCGTCATGCTGTCGTTGTTGGTGTCGTCTCTGTTGTTGTTTCTCCCGATCCCCGGTGGCGGTTCAATCATTGCACAAAGTACACAGATGGAACTGTTGGCGTTTGGACTGGAATCCAAAAACACAGAGAGAAAATTGGGTCCAAAACAAGGTACAATACAAAATTGAACTGTGAGTTAATATTAACATTTAACTAAAAGTTCCGATAAATACTTAATACATTTTTTACATTGGCCTAACAATAAAATGCATTGAAAAACTGGTAATTAAAATTTGTATCTATGTATTAACCGTAACTTAAAATTTTTTTCTCTCCCTGCAGCTTTGCGTAATTCTAGACACCCATGGGGCGATTGCTGCCAAGGCGAATCAGCTAATAAAATTATTGTGTGCCAATCCAATGACAATGGATTGACCCCCAACCCCTAACTCTTCTCTAACCCCCACTTACCCCATGTATCCCTGCTGATAGCCGCCGTACTGGCCGAAGTGATAGCCCTGGATGCCCTGCAGGAACTGGTTCTGCACAGCGGCTGCACTGGCCGCCGCCGGGGTCACCGCGGCCGCCGTGGCCGAGGAGGCCGGATAGGTGGGCGTGGGCGAGTACCAGCAGCCCGTGGCGGCCAGCTGCTGTCCGTAGGCGGCGGCTGCTGCAGCAGCGCCCACTCCGTAGGGGAAGCCGGCGGCAGCGGCGGCGGCACTGTTCAGCGCCTGGGTGGCGATGGTCTGCGCGTTGTTGGGGTCACCGCTCTCCTTGCCCCACGAACACTTCACGGGCTGGGCGTTGATCTCAGTGTTGTGGACGCCGACGATGGCGTGGGTGGCCGCCTCCTTGGTGGAGAAGCTGTAGGATTGATAAGGGAAATTGATAGGGTATCAATTACAATAAAGTAAATTAAATCGAAAAAGGCCAAAATTCAAATCAAATAGTTACCAAATTCAGAATAATTTTATTGATATATAAAAATTAAAAACATTTTTTTTTTAATTCCCAAAAACTTTATTTAAAGAACAAATATTTTAATTTGATTAATAAAATTCTACAAAAGAGTACAAAAGGTGTTTCGAATTTTTTCACTGCATACTTTTAGACACTTTTGTAATTGATTTTAAACCCCTTCTGATTTCTAACATCGCCCCCACGATCTATAATATTTAATATGATAAAAGTTAAAATCACCTAAGCTTTATATTTTTTACAACTTTCTTTAAATAAAGACTTACCGCACGAAGGCGTATCCCTTGTCCTTGAAGACGCGGATCTCCTGTATCGCGCCGTAGGGGGCGAAGGTCTTCTGAAGGACCTCCTCGCTGAGGGCGGTGAGGGCGCTGTTGACGCCGCCCACGTAAACGGTGCAATTGGAGGGACTGCTCTGATTGTAGACCTCGTCGAAGGTCAACGGCTTGATGTTCTCTGTGGGTGGAAAAAAAGCGAGGATGAGGCAAGTGTTACTACCCAGCGTGTGTGCTTGATGGATCTGGATTTAATGTTCCCGCCTCGAACGACAATTTATGGAAGGCAGTTTTTTCTGTTCTGTTCGACTTGCGTTTTTTATTCGCCAGCTGCATGATTAATATGCAAATTAATTAACGGATTTACCCGCAACAACGGCAGCAACAACAACGCAACGAGAGCAGCCTCGGCAACGTTTTGGTAATTAAAATAACCGCATGCACTTAGTCAATATGCTTGTGTGTGTGCGGTTCCTATGTGTGCAGGTTGGTGGTTGGTCGGAGGGGCGGGCCTGCAACACCATTTACCGCTGCTTTCTTGTTGTTGCCGTTGCATATTTAAAATTGTTGCGGTTGTTATTGCATTTTTTATTATACGTATTTCGTGGATATACATTTTTCGTATGCCGTTTTATTGTCGCCATGCTTTTTGCACTCACTGTACAGGGCGTACACTATACACTACATATATAGTAATGGTCTGAAACAACCCCACATTGTCGTTGTCGTTGCCCTGATTGTAGTACGCTATCCGCCATGAATGCACGTATTTGTATGCAAAAGCTACACTAATTACTTCCTTTGAGGTTAAAACTAAATTTGCACTTTTAAAAATAATGTCAGCTTCGCGTGTTTATGTCTTTGTTTAGATTTTCGCTAGGATATTTTTCTATCCACGCATTGAATGCCGGGGATTATGGGCCTAATGATAGTTGCATAGATGTAGATCGATATGGATATGTAATGGTTAATAGAAGAGAGAACCAAAATCCGGGCCTACTTAACATGGCCTGTTAATGGCGCCCAACTACTGGACAGATTCCTACTTTTCCGCCCCATCAAAATGCCATTGCAGGATGTCTGGATTTTAGTCTATGTAAGTGTGCGGCTGCTTTTTGTTTTTTGCCTTTGACTGCGCAGCGAACATGCCAAAGAAAACACAAAAATATGGCTCAATGACATGCAACAGGATTGCTGCACACACACGCCACGAAACAACAATCACAGTTCCATTTTCCGAGAGGGCGAGAGGGTGCAGCCGAAAAACTAGGAAAACTAACAAGCTCGCAAATACTTTTGAAAGCTTTTGCCACAAATGTATGCGCTTTGGCCACGCACACACACGCAAGGACTAGAACACTTGGAGAAAATTTCTTATATTTATTATTTTAATTTTAGCGCGGTAGCTATTAATTTATAAATTTTACTTTTGCCATAAATTATATTATTTAAATTCTAATTCATTTGTAAACCGGAAATACCTATTAAATTTTAGTCAGAAAATGAAAAAACCTTTTAAAAAAAATTCGAATTTATTTTTCTGAGTGCACTCCTATTAGGACTTGCCGAAGAAAACATACCTTGCAGCGCCATGCCTCACTAATTTGCACTTTGCTTTGTGTTTGTGTGCCCCTTCATTTCTCCCCGTATTATTTCCACTTTTTGTTTTCTCTAATTTCTTTTTTACGCTTTTAAATAGGTGTAATTAAATTTTGAAAATGCAACCAACGAGCCTCACATATCCACACACACGCCCTACGTGCCTCGGAGCCTCGAAGCCTTGGCGTTGGGTTAACTTGGCCAAGTTTCATGTCCGCAGCAAATTAAAGCACTTTCGGGCCGAAAGCATGGCCATAATTATCGCACATTTTTGTCTACGACAAACCATGTGCATTCCCATTTCCACATTTTCTCATTCCTGCAGGAAAATGGTGAACGGGGGCAGACACAAATAATTGGAGTCTGGTCAGAACGAGGGCCATTAAGATGGGGGCAACCGGCGAATGCCGCCGGCAATCCACCGGCAGGTGCTCCCATTTTTCCCGGCGATTTGAAATTTTAATGAGCAATTATAGGCATGTAAAACTAAATCATGAAATAATCACCAAATCATTAACATAAATAATTCACATTTTTACACGCAGCAAAAACAACATCACGAGCCTTGAGGACGTGGCCAACACTTGAGTAAATTCAAAAGTAATTAATATGCATGGAAATGCTCGTTCAACAGGGGCGGTTTTTTTAAGGGGGCGTCGTCTCTTAGGGGCGTGGCAATGTGCTAACAAGAACGCTTGTTTGGCTACCACAAAAAAAAAACTTCCTAATCGATATTTTGAATTTCTAGACATTTTTTTCAGAATAATGTTGCACTTCAGTTTAAAGAATATTTTATGAAATTACTCTATAATATTATAATTTAAGGGAATATTTATTTTGCCTATAAATAGGGGAGAGTGGGGGAATTTCGTCAGCATTTTTTCAAAACTATTTTTTGTCCATCTTGAGACACGTTATCATATTTCCCCTGTGACGAAATTCCCCCACTCTCCCCTACTTTAAGGTATCTATTTTGAGGTCCTTTTCCTGCAACATGAACGCATTGAGGCATTTAAACTTTTACTTAATTGTGCGCAACTCTGCATAAAATGTTGATTTATTGCGTCAACTGGCAACTGCCGTGTAACGAGTTCACGTAACTCCAACTTTTGCAAATATTTCCCTGCGAGTTGGCCAATAAAGCACCCACCCACAACCCACACAGCCGGGTCAAAAGTCAAATAGTTTCGGCAAAGAAATTTGTCATAGCAGGCAAACGTTGTCGTCTTTTGTGAGGCGACGGCGTTTGTCGTCGGCATATTGTTTCTGGTTAATTAAGTTATTACCATAATGAGCTTGCAGGTATTTCGGGGGCTTATTTATGGGCCGGCATGCACTGTGGACTAGAGTCTAGAGTCGGGTCTTGTTTGACAAAGGTGGAAACTTTGAGGGAACTTTCGCTTTTGGGAGGCGAGCAAGGAAGGGCCATAAAAAAGGGTCGCGTTTGTTATAAACCACCCATTGCAATGGGGAAAAAACGAGGAGAAACTCTTAGCCGGGGACGAAATTGCAAAGCGTCGCCAAAATTGTCACAACTGTAAAATGCGCAATTGCGCCGGATCGTAAATCTTTAGCAACAATGGGGCAGACACATGAGTGGCCCACTAAACGCGGACGGAAGGACGGACGTGAAATGTGAAATGTGCAGCCTGCTTAAAACATAAAAACGCCGGGGCCAACTCAACTCGATGGGATTGCCAAAAGAATCGAGCAAAGTGGCTGCGTAAAACATGAAGTAATGCGAATGCCAAATGCGAAATGAGTTGAGTGCTACAAATCGTAAAGTTTCGCCAGCAGTCGCTAGGCGGGCCGTAAAACCTTTCCAACCCTTGCATATGTGAGCGGGACATAAAAACCCTTTAGCGATTGTATGGCATTCTATGGTATGGAACTCTTTTTTGTGCCGACTCAGCCTATCGAGGCGATCAAAAAATCAAAATTATTTCGCTGTCAAATTGCTAATAATAACTTGTATTACAGGATGCCTCCCCATGGCCCCAACTACCGCTCAGTAATTTTACTTTACCCCTTATGGGGCAGCACACAAACTAGAAGAGCAGACAAAACCGTGACACAGTCAAATAAACAATGAGACCAATAAAAATACGCTTAAGCTTTCATAGGCGTTTTTTATGACAACAATATAAATGCAAAGGGAAAATATTATATTCAGGAAAGTCCTCCCTCCGTTCCTCCCCTTCTCTCTCATTTTCCGAACCCTTCAACAGTTTTCGGGCCTTTGCACGATAAATTCCACCTTGACTCCAACTATTTTCCCCAAATATTCGTTGTATAACCCTGTTTTCTCTATCGTGGGTGGGTTTGTGTGTGTGCTTGGGCCCTTTATGATAATAGTTTCGTGTTGGCAAAATTTATTTATCTGATTCCCTCCGAAACTCCCGACGAATGTGTGTCTGTGTGTCTAACAAATAAAAATTATGTTAAAACATGCAAATATGCGTTAAGTTTTGATTTATGAAAGACAATCGAGGGAAGCCCCGCGCATGTTTGTCCGCTGTTAATAATGATTACGCCCCGGACTAAGTATATAGTTACGGCTATGGTTCGGTTGACAACGATCCGTGGCCATAAATTGAGGGGGCGTGTCGCAGGGCCCAAATGAAAATTGATTTGCCGGTCCTAATTGAATGCCTCTAGACGGGGTTTTCTTTTTTCTGTTCTTTTTTTCTGTTTTTATACTAATTGAAAAAGTTTAAACCAAATTGGGTACAGCCCATTACGGAAATTAAGCGCGTGCGGTTAAGAAGGGACAAAAATATTAAGAAAACATAATCTGGCAGAAAATTTGTGCGACGTTTATAAATAGCGAGCGGTTTTCCTGAATCCCTCCCCGGCGTTTCCCGCTTTTCCCCTGCACTTTCCCAGCATCACTTTTGGCCCTGGCATTGTGCCTGTGTGTCGGTCTACCTTTGGCATTCATTGCCATAATTTCCTGTAATAAGAACGACGCGTCGTCTGGGTCTCAGTTCGAGTTGGGGTTCGCAGTCGAAGGACCCAAAGTCCGGGTAGGTGTACGCACACCGGAAACTTCGTTGGCCTGCCGACTGGGGTGACACTCATGATTTCCTTACCTTTACTCGCCGGCGGTTTCCGTGTGGCCCAATTCGTGCGAATTGAACGGGAGCCAAGCCACTGGCCATTCATGGCCGTAATGGCGCTCTCGGCTTCCTGCGGGGCGATAATGAAGACAGAGAGACGGTCAGAAGCAGAATCGCAGAAAGGAGGACACGGTGAAAAAATATATCAGTTAAGCACTGTCATATCTACATCTTTAAATAGCCATTTAGTAAATAAATAAATAAGTTTAACATTCGAGCGTGTCACAGAAATCACTAGGGGCTTAAAATCAGTCTTAATAAAGCCCAAAAGTATGCAACAAAATCTTTGATTGCATACTTTTAGACAGTTTTATAAGTGATTTCAAAACCCCAGTGACTTTTTCTGTTTCTACATTGTCGTTTAATTTATTATTATACCCGTTACTCGTTGAGTAAAAGGGTATACTAGATTCGTGCAAAAGTATGTAACAGGTAGAAGGAAGCGTTTCCGACCCTATAAACTATATATATTCTTAATCAGGATCACTAGCCGAGTCGATCTAGCCATGTCCGTCTGTCCGTCTGTCTGTCCGTCTGTCTGTCTGTATGGACGCTGAGATCTCGGAAACTATAAAAGCTAGAAGATTAACATTTTGCATGCAGATTCTAGGAGTTCCTACGCAGCGCAAGTTTGTTTCAAAAGGGTGCCACTCCCCCTTTAACGCCCACAATCGCTTATATACGATTTTAAAAATTTCAATATTTCGGAAAAGTAAAAATGCAGTTTTATGGTGTTTATCAATACCTATCGAAATGTAGAAGAAATTTTTTAAATCGGACCGTTCGTTAAAAAGTTACGGCGGATCAAAGTTTTTAGCTCCATCTCCTTCGCACTTGCTTTAGTTGAGTAACGGGTATCTGATAGTCGGGGCACCCGACTATAGCGTTCTCTCTTGTATGATTTTAAAATTAAGTTAAAATAAATAATACCTTTTTCTATAATTTTAATGTGATATTTTTTATTTAAAAAAAAATTTAATTTCCGATACTTTTTGTCACCGTGCATAACACCGAAATCAAAATAAAGAGCCTGCGCACGACTGCATAAATATGCACTTAAATATGCTAATGCCAAAGGCGGTTCTTACCGATTTCTTGATGAAGGACACAAAGCCGTAGCCCTTCGACTTCAAGGTTTGTGGATCGCGCACCACGCGACAGTCGCTGCAAAAAAGAACACGAAATGTAAACATTAAAGTCCTGAACAGAGTTCACCAAGTCTTAAATATAACTGTGGACCGCCTGCCACCGAACGGAAGTGCTGGCAAACTTTAAAATTTATGCAAATTCCTAATAAAGACATCTCTCGAGGTCCCTGGTCTTTTGGTCTCCGTTCTTCGTCGGTCTGGCCGACGTGTTCAAATATTTCCGTTCGAGTACAAAATACAAATATATTCAGTCTGTGTTTGCCGGCGTGGGCGTGGCCCCTTGTAATTCGGAAATTAGAAATCTGACCTCATGCTGGAAACTTTTTATTTATCTTGCAGTTTGCGAAAAGGGAGGATTTCGGTCTGACAAGAAGCCAGGAAGTCGAAGTCTCATCTCTGGGCTTTAAGATAACGATAAAGTTTTTGATGAATTTCTCCCGTGATTTGGATCCCCCTCCCCATACTCCACCCCAAATCGAACTATGCTCATTACAGCTACGGGGCCAAAAGGACCTGCTCGTTTTGGTCACTTACACTAGTGACCCGGCACTTGTGCCAATTGGCCAACTTCCGACTCGGGGGCCCCAAATTGATTTCCCCCAGCGGCTGTACGACTTCTCATTTGGACAATTGGGGCCTCGACACCGCACTAAAGCGGGCTGCCAGGAAACTTTGGCAATTACCCCCGGTCCGGCAGTTTACTTTTCATTTATGAAGCATAAACCACAGCGGCGGCGAAGTTGGCGACGCTGGCCGGCAACTTTTTTTTATGATTATTATAAGTAAAATGCCCACCGAACCTCGAACCCGTCGGGGTTTGGGCCAGGCTTTGGCTTCTGGACTTATTAAATATTCACACGCGCCGCGCATTTAACAAAACGAAACAAAATGCGCCGGGGTCTCCCGAAAAAAACATAATGCCAAAACCAGGCAACAATGCCCCAAAGAAAAAAAGAACCAGAAAAAACAAAGCCAACCTACAAAAAAAAGGGCAAACAACGCCAGGCACGCATAAAAGTTTTGACAGCCGGGAAGGGGACATCTTGATCCCTGGGAGCCGCACGACCGAATCCCGCCGACTTTGTGCGTTAAGCGTTTTGACATGTCGGCTAGCAGATCGACTCGACTTGGGCCCAGAAAAGAAAGAAAAACCAAAAGAAATAAAGTTCTTTAAGCCGCTGCCATACCATCGTCTCCTATTCTCGGAAGATAATCAGCCGGCAACGTGGGCAGAGTTTTTTCGGGGGAGTATCGACGATAATGATGTCAGCGATAGCTATCCCAAAAGGTGCCAAACGATTGTTCAATAGCCCTGAAATCTGTAGTCATCGATACTGTTGTCAACTGGCAATCGTTTCCCCACTGAGATTTAATTTAGAAATATTTATTCTATTTATATCACCACTTTTATATGTTACAGCAATTTCCTTTAATCTTTTTCAGCACCCACCCTTATAGCAGATGTGATTTTAAGCCAAGTTTGGTACAACTCATTAGCGAATCAGAGAACCCTTTAACCCAATCAAGGCCAGAGTCATTAGAATGATTTTCAAATTATTAAAATTTAAATTGGCCATCGGCAGAGATTCTCCGATGGACTGGCTGACTGAATCCTCCGTTTCGCGGTCCAAACAAGCGGCAAATCCGAAAATCAAATACTTTGGCGTAATTTTTGATAAGCCGCCGCAGGGCCTCCTTTTGTGGGTGGTTGAGGATAAAGAAGAGCTCCTCCCGGGAGACGGACTAACATTTTGACTCGAAACTTTGCGATTAAACAGAAGTTAATTAAGCCAAGTTTTTGATGCTGTCGTTGCCATGGGAGAAGCGCTGCCTGGTGGGTGGTAAGTGGTTGTGGGCGGCGGGCTAGTGACTTTGCCTTTTCATGCCGAAAAATAGCAACTTAAATATTTGAATGCCCCGACTTTTTGCCAACACTTACAGACAGCGAAAAGAGTTCGGCCAAAGTGGCATTTGCATAAATTCATTTTTTTTTTTGCCGCCCGGTTATGAATTTTTTATGGAGTTGCGAGTGAAGTGAGCCTCTTCCACACGCGCCTGCCAATAATCAGAGAATGTGTGACAGGAAAATTGTCACGAAAAAAATGGAAAAAGCCGAAATAAAAGCTGCAGAAAAGGGGGAAAATGGGAGAAAGGCAATTCCAAGTTAACTGGCAAATGGAAAATTTGCATTTTAATACTTACGAGATTTCGCCGAATGGTGTGAATGCTTCGCGCAATTGCTGAGTTTCAATTTCTGAGCTCAAGTCGCCGACAAAGATGTGGAATTGTTCTGCAAAAAAAGAGAAGAGGGCGAGTGCCAAGTTGAGTATCGGGTTTTTTTTATTCTTCGCAGATTTCACACAGATTTTCAGAGACTTTTTGGGGGAAAGGGTTGTGCGATGCCGCTGGCGCATCGTGAATCGCACAAAATATGCGCCAGATAAAAACGCAAATCAAAAGAGAATCCCAAGTCATGCGCTTTTATTTCGCAATTTATTGCGCACGCTGACGCGGTGCTTTAATGCATATTCATAAAAAAAAGGGAAAAAACCCAAGAAGGAGATATTTCTCATATATAATTTTATGCTGCATAAGCAGAGATAAGTTAATTGAAATCACAAAGGAGCCGCGCAGATTGATGGGCTCAAAGAGAGTGGGTGGCTGGGCGGAAAGGATGACAAAACTTGCTGGAGAAACCCACTTGGTATTAGTTTTTCAGAAACGTCGCGGAAAACTTTGCCAACTGCGTGTCTCTTTTGTGAATCCTAACCCCACACCCATCTCCCGCCCACCCTCCGCTTCTGCTGAAGAACGTCCCCATTAATACTAATTAACCCATTCATCTAAGTAAACTTTCCACGCTCGAATCTTCTGGCCCCATCATCAGGCCAAACATCGCGTACACATGCACATACTCAAAGCCATTCGCTGTCATGCAGGCTGCACAAACACAAGTGCAGTGGGTGATGTTTCCATTTCCAGCCACCTAGCCACCTAGCCACCTAAAGCCACCCACAAAGCCAACCTCTGCCCCACCAAACACTCTAAAAACTTATGGGATGTAGAACGACTGAAACTTGGAATTTTTCTACTATCTTTCTTAGTATCATAAATCTTTATGATATAACTATACAAAGATTAGAAGAGAACCTTCTATTTTAATTTTTCTTTAAGGTTAAGAAAACATAAATCTAGATATTTAAATAATTGTAGTGTTGCATATATATTAAATTAGTCCACCATTATATTTAAAACAATCTAAACTATACTAAAAACTTTAAATAGGATTTTTCTGATCAATTAAAATAATCTTTGAACATTTATATATTAAAAAAACAGAAATGTAAAAATATTTAAGAATTCAAGAAAAATGTTGAGCAATTTCCTTCTTGAGCTGATTTTTTCCTTCATTTTAATTAGAGTGTACACCTATAAGAAACTCTCATGCAAGGCAAACACACCCACACTCGCACGAATCGCAATCATTTATTATTATTTTTGTGTGCTTTGTCTCTTTGGCACAGTAAAAAAAGGAGGCGGGTTGGGGTGAATGGTAAATCCTAGTGGGGTGGTTTTCGGATGGCTTAGGTGGTTCCATTCGTCGTTGTCCTTCGCGCGCTCTTGTGTCAGCTCAGTTCGGTTGAGCCCAGCTCAGCGCTCAGCTCCGAAACTCGCTGCCAAGACTTGGAAAAAGCAAAAGCAAAGGCAAAGCCAGCCCAGCGACGCACGTGGGGTGGTAATGGGTTAAGGGCCAATGCAGCGGCGCCTTTTTTCGGGGGTCAACCCAGCCCCCTCTTACACAAACGCAAACACACTGTGAATTCTTACCCTAAATAATTAGCACTATTCAGCTGGGGACCCACTGACGACGACGACGACGACAACATTCGAGGCTGACAACGCCGATGGGCGTGGCCCAGACCCGTGACCCCCCAGCAGACCACCCACCGCCCACCGCCCAATGGCCTTGTCTGCTGCACGTGCAGAAATTAACATTTCCGGTAATTTTGCGAAAATGAAAAGCAAAGCGAAAAATTAACGGCAACGTCGTCGTCGCGGCCGCAGCGAAGGCAAAATGCGAAATGCGGAAAGCTTTTGTGTTAAATAAATATTAAAAGGAATTTCCCAGAGCCAGCGGAACTGATGGAGAAACGGAGAAATGGAGAAGACGAGGGGCTGAGTAAGTAGATTCATTCTGACTGCGGCCTGTTGGCCTTTTAAAAACACAAACCAAACGAGTAAATCTCTGCGTGTTCACGTGTACAAATATACGAAGGGGATGCACTGGGAAAAACGAAAAAAATTACCGTAAATAACTGTTAAAAATTTTAAAGATAAAATGATTTATTTTGTTGACAAAATCATATGAAATACATTTATGAAAATGCTTTATATTTTCATACTCTTTAAAAAGTAATGTAGAGGGTAGTCTACTAAGTTTTTCCCCCAGTGCCTCCGTTTGTGTGTGCGTGGCCACTTTTTATTTAATTGGAAATTGCGTATACGCCACCGTTAATGAGCCCATTGTAATCGCAGTGGCGGAGCCGCGCGCGGCTTAGTACATTGAGGCGGCTTGACTCGGCTCGCCTCGCCTCACCTCGTCTCGCCCCAACTCGACTCGAGTAGTTGGGGTTATTGTAAATCAATCGTTGGGGTTCGCTCAGGTTATTGCTTTCGCCCCTTTGCACACTTGGCTCAAAGGTAAGTGGTAAGTGGAAAATGGTAAAAATGGTTGCAATGGTAGGAAGGGGGAAAACCAAGGCACGCAACTTGTACGTAATACTCGAATGCCCGTATCCGTGAGATATGTTCATTCGCTTTCGAGACAGACAAACGAGGCAGCCACTAATTGCAGTCAAAGGCCGCTTTAAATTTGCACTGAGCCGAGGGGCTCGATTGGCAGCTCTATACTGCCACGCCCCCCATTTGGCAGCCGCCTTCGGTGTCAGCATGTCAAGCGCGATGGCAGCTTTTCATTTTCATTCTCATTTCTTTCGCCGGCGGAAGCCGCCTGAATTGCCCGTGTGTCGGCTCGTTTGCTGATTAAAACGGTGCGTATGTAATGAGTTAATTAAGTTTTTGCCATCGTTACAGTCGCCCATTGTCGTTGTGTTGTCGCTGTCTTACACACACACACACACACACACACACACGTGCCCATAAATTAATCATAAATCCTTGCTAGCTGCTCGGCAGTTACAAGTGTTTTGTATATTTGCCGAGGACGCACCTGTCCCCTTCCGTTCGCCTGGCTTCCTGTCTTCTGTCCTTCTGTCCTGCTGCCTTTCTGCCATTCTGCCATTCTGGGCGAAAAGCGTTAACAACGTCGTGAGCCAGGTGAGTGAGCCAGGTGATTCAGCTGGCGGGGATTGCGAGCCGCCTTTGGACTAAGTGTGTCAGCAGTGCCTCCTGCCACGCCCCCTTGTACCATTTGATTAAAGACGGAAGCTACTCAGGGCGTATACAAGTGCCCATGTGTGTGTGGCATTCGAGCACTGAGAGAAAAAACTCTGGACATTCAATTTAATGGGAAATAATTTTTTACGTAAAACATTTTTTTATTTAAGTGGAACTTTGTTAAAATAAAGTTTAAAATTATTGTTAAAACAAAGAATTTAGGGTACTATTTTATTCCTATTTTATATTTATTGTATGACTTTCAAATTAACCCTTAATCCCAAAAATCCTTTTTTAATATTTAATAATTAACTTAAGTATTTAAAATATTTCTCCCAGTGCACAACTATCCACTTTTACGCCTTGTCTTGCCTTGCCTGCTTTGTTGGCTTTAGTTGTTGTAAATTTTATGTTATCCGCCTTCATTGTTTGTATGCCTTTATTTATGTTACCCACTGCCTGCTGCCTTGCTTTACTGATTTGCCGTTGTTATTTATGCGTTTGTGCTAAACCTTATTTCCTGTTTGTCTTACATAAGCTGCAGCGCTTAATTACACGCAACCCCATCGAGGACACGATTCCGGGCAGGATGTGGCTGGCTGGCTGCCCGGCTGATCTGCCCCCTGGGAGAGCTCACAGCTCCCAGCCCACGAAACCTTGTTCAAGATGTATGGGTCTGAAAGTCCCATCGATCGATCGGCGGACATGGAGCGTAATGTTTTATTGACTAGGCCCCGGCAATCTCATTTGGCAATTCACTTTGTAAGCGACCACACGGCGTATGCGTAATGGCAATTATGAACTCGAACCCCGAAACTAAGTGGAGAGTGCATTAAAGCTAAAAGCGTTTAGCTGGCGGTCGAAAAACCACCAGCTGACCGACTACGCACTGATACCAATCCCGCTGTGACAGTGAAAGCCCCAAACAAGCAAAACAATTTGACGCCAACAACCGCAAAACGTGCTGGCCGCCCCAGCATTCAGATATACGTAATACGTATGTATGGAAATGGACCCGAAACCCGGGGGCAACCCAGGGAACCCAGGGAACCCGGAACCCGCCCACAACTTAACCCAAAAATTGATGAATATGTAAGCAAATATAGGGGACCAACACGCAGCGGGAATCCCTCAACATCCATACGAATATTTGTGTGTATATATAAAAAAGGATCAAAGTCCTGAGGCGCGTTAATTTTCCCAGACGTCAGCAGGAAAAGTTAGGGCTGACCTTCCCCTTCTCCCGTTCCCGTTCCATCCCGTGAATATGAACCAAAGCCCACAAATTATATTGAAATGTTAATAATCCAGTTGCTTAGACGTGCTGTGCCATCCCGGGATGTCCGAAAAGGACAACTCAACTGTGAAAGGATATTTACATGGAGATTTGTATGCCGCTGACTTATGACTTTGATCAAGGCTGCTAACCGCCCCCCTCCGAAACCCAATCAATGGGGTCCCTGCCGCATTTATGTGCTCTCGAGAGTCACTTATGCCCACAATTTGGCACTGCGGTTATCTTGGGGCCCCAAAATATATGTATTTGTACGAAAATGGCTAGCTGGGGTAGCAAATCTTTAAATTAAATTTGCTTGGGGCAAATCAGGGCGCATTATAAAGTATAATGTGCTTTTAATTTCATTCATTTGCATGAAATGCGAGCGAAGAAAGCAGCCAGTGGACCCTGGCCTGCTGCTAAGTGGAACTAAAAAATCTAATTAGCGTTCGCCGCTGCACGAGTCGACTTAAAGCAAACTTTGCGCTTTAATTTCATCTTGATTACGTCCACGAACTGCAGCTGCAACTGCCACGCCTGTTTGTGCAGCAAACTGTAAACTAGAAACTGAAAACTGGGAGCTGAAAACTCAAAAGCCAATCAACTTGACTCGCTAA